TGTTTTAAGCAAAATAAGCTTACAACTTGTGTGTTTGGATTATTAGTTAGACATTGTTCAAAAGTCAATAAAACAATAACATTTAAGTAGAAACAAGTGTATACTGTTACGAGCTTTAAGCTGTTTAGGATAAACAAATGTAGTTTCCTATTAGAATTTGAACTAAAAAAAATGGTAATTTAGATTTATTTCATATAGAGTGATGGTATAGAAAATAACAGATAAAATATAAAGTTTTACTGAAAAAAATGTTTGAAATTTATTTAGGAGGTTTTAGAGATTACACAAATGAAATTTTACAATTTCAGATCAAGAAAAGTGTTTTAAATCTTAACAGGAAAATAGCTTTTCACACAGAACAGTCAATACTTTGACTCCATATTTTCACAGAGAAATTCTTAGTAAAAATACTTCATTAAAAATTCTGATTATTTTGTCTACAAAAGACTTATAATGTTTACTGAAAACTTGCGAAATATCATGAAGATACACAAAACATATTAGAAGTTATAGTATGGAAACTCTAAAATTTGGGTTCATGAACTCAGCCGAACTGACTGAGTCTGTAGCAAAAGTGTTAATTTTTACGATAACAAATATTATTATTTGATACACTGTTGAAATTACATAACTAATAAACACTGGATTGCTCCATTTCTATTCATTAGTACATTAGTCATTTGAACAAATTGTTTAGAAATTTTGGAAAATGGCAAGCAAGCTGAAAACACAGTAAGTTACTGCATTTGCCTTTTTTATTGTTTAGTATTAAGATCTTGCATATTTAGTTAACATTATGTACTTCAAACTTGAATTGTTATTTGAAACACAATTGTTATTATGGAAAAATTATTTCTTTTTAGATTATCAATTAACAGTTATGTGGCTGAAATATTTTTATCAAATATCCTGAATTTTATGTTTCATATTTCTGGTTATATTCTATAAAAAAAATTCTACTTTTCAGCCTTGTGATCCAGATGTTTTCATTGAAGGTCTTCTTATGCCATCCTTAAAGAGAAGAAAAATTTTGATTTTATTACAAAAGATGTCCTCATTTGATTCTTCTCTATCAAAGTGGTGGCATCTTCTTATGGCTGCATGCCGCTACTTGAAAAAAAATAACTTCTTTCATGTCTTGTACAAAATTCAGTATTTTATGAAGGTGAGAATTGTAGATGTTTAGTATCAAAGGTGCATTTTTGAAGAATTAATTATAATTTTTTTTTTCAGTTTTATTTCCTTATCAGATTTTTTTGGAATTGCCTGCTTTTTCTCTCCTGTCTAATATTTTCACATTAAATTTGATCCTACAGTCTACTTAACATAATTCACAATATATGTATAGCAAGTATTAAAGATAAATTCAAGTTTAATATTTTTTAACTTAAAGATATGTCATATTTAAAATTTTTCATTCAGTGTGGAGCCTTTTCAAACTGTAATACTTTTAATAAAACTTTTAGATCAAATACAATAAATGGAGAACAAAGATTGTTCTATTTTAGTAGCTGTTATAAGTTTATCTAATGCATAAGTGAGAGAGCATCAACATGGTTTTCCCATTAGGCTTATAAATTTCAGTAATTTTTATAGCTTCAACAAATCTGTGATGTAATGTTGGAAATACATGGAAGTTAAAACGTATGTTGATTAATAGTTAGTGTGATATCACATTACAATAAGACTAATGATAATTTCCATCATATGTTTCTTTACTGGAATTACCTGAGTTTTTAGTGAGAAAAGAATATTGTATCATTTTGACCACATATACAGTTTACATGTTACACTCCACTGCTGATAATTCCTTTTGCTCAATACCATGTATTTTTGTTTCAAATCTTAATAGAAGTAACTAGTGCATTTATATGTTTTATAAGACATAATCTACTCCATTTGTTCATTATATGCAGTTTCATTAAAGTTTATTGCTTGTAATTTTTAATGATTTTCATCAATTATAACTCAAAGTTTATTGTGCATTGTTAGCTTAATATAAGAACTTAGAACTAATTCAAACCTCCTAACTTGTGTGAGCCTTTGTATTATATCCAAAAATATTTTTAACAGCCTGAGTACTCACCTGATTATTCAATGTATTCTAATCATTATTGGTTTAAGCGTTTTGTTATATTTCTGGTTGTACTATGAGAGTGTGTTCATTAATTTATTTTACTTTTGATTTACAAAGTTATCTAACTAGTGGTAAGAAGGTATTAACAAAATGTCTTTTATACAAGTGTTTGTCTTTTGTAGTTAATGTAGCATAACTGTTTTCTTGTAACTAGGATTATATTCGTGCAGCAATGACCAGCATTCAGTTATTTAAAGCCCCAGCTGAATGTTATTCAATACTCTATGAACGTATGAAACACCTAACCAATGCTTGTGATAATTTTGAAATCTACCTTGGAGAGTATCATCTTGGTACAGAAGAAATCTTGCATCCACCTAGAAATCAAATCTTAATGTGGTCACCAAAAGAAGTCAACAGGTATAAAAAAAATAATTTACTTCAATATATTGACTTTTTTTCTCTGACTAAGTACATTAAATAAAGCAACTTGAAGAATAATAGATTTCAAGACATCTTTTTCTCTTTGCCATAGCTGTTTGATAACTTTCGCTCTTCAATAAGGATGTATATGTAGCTAAATGTTAATGTATGTGTAGCTATAATTGCATGTTTTGGAGTATATTATTAAATTATTGATTAACATTGCTAAAACTTTTCAACACAATATCTTCCAAAAAATTCAAAGTGATAGCCAGAGATCAGCATATTACAGAATATTTTACCATTTTGTTTAATAGTGTAACATGGTTAATTTAATGTTAATTAATATGTTAGTTAAAAATGAAAGTATAGATACTACCAAAGTATAAACAAAATATGGTCAGAAATCAACTTTATAATGTGCCAAATATTCAATTACAGGAAAGTCTCCCCACCACTTCCTCTCTCTTTTCTTTTTAGTAAACATCAAACTGACAAAAGCTTAGGCATTAGTCATAAATCAACTAGACATTGACTCAATAAAAATAATTTTGCATTTGTTTATTGGCATTGAAATTGTACATTGCTGGGAAAGTTATGAAATAAATCTCATACTTTAATTTATTTATTTTTTCAGAAAAACTAAGAAATAATATTTTAACAGTATGTGAGAGTTAAAAGTGTAGATCTTAGGACCAACAGTTATGAAAAATATAATAATTCTGCCTTTATATTTTAGAGTTTTAAACCATTATGTGTGCATAATTTAAGTCATGCTTAAATACCACTTGTGCCAGTTAAGCTGGAGTTCAGCTCCAAATCTTATGTGCCATCTCAGCATGGTAGGAATTTGGCCTTGACATTTAAGCTCTGTAGACATTACTTTGTGTTTTGTTGAGACAGGATTATTGTGATTAGTGTCTTTTTTGTTTTTTATATCTTGTAAAATATAAACAAGTTGAAGTACTGTGTTCCAAAAAAATTTGTATTTGAAGCGTATATAATCTCAGCATGGGGAAAAAAAATACTACCTGTAAAATCAGTACATCTTTATAAAACTTGTATGAATTATATCAAAATAATTATTGACTTTACCCTGCTTTCTTCTTGTAGGCACATTAGCACCATCTCTCTACAAATTGATATCACCAAGTTTTTACATACCTGTTCAACATCTGGACCACTAGTGATGCCAGACCACATTTCAACAAGTCATTATAATAATCAGTCTGATGTTACTCCTCCCACGCTCTTTGATAACTGTACAAGAAAGGCTATACTGGCTGCCATAGTGCGTTTTAGAATATAGAAGTTTCTGATCTTGTTTTTCTTGTGTGTTCGTTCGTTTTTATTCAATTTAAAGCATTTTCAGTTTAGTGAGCCTCACTTCAGATCTTCAGACTTTACACAACATTGGCAAGCATATAACATTTGGTTAGAGTTTAATTCAGCTGCTCATCTGACAAGTGTTTTGGCTTAATACTTAAGTGTTTTTGTTAAGATTAAAATCTTTAAAGAAATGAATAAATTAATTTTTTGTTTTTTGTTCTAATTGTGTAATGTGTTGCTCATCAACACTGTTTGTCACTGAAATTTTCTAATATTTCCTATATAACTAAAAGAAAATTTTAATATCAGTCTTTTTTTCCTCCTATGCATGAATGTCATTGGTAGTAGTATGTTATAGAAACATTATTTTTATTTTATTTCATGACAATAAATAGACTATATGTGCTTTTAATAATGTAAGAAATCTGAACAGGAGATTGTACATCCATATTAAGCATCAACTAAGAAACCATTTATTCTATGTTAACATGATTCAAAAATTGCAGTGTTAAAAGAATTATTTTCAATAAGAATTAAGCATTATTGGTATGTGTTGATTATAATACTGAATGAAATACTTTCCCAATAAATTACTGTTATGTGACTGTTAAAAAAATGGTTAATTTTCATTAGATTTCAGTATGTTACAAGAGAGATGCTTACATACTAATTCATGAAATGTTTGGCATGAAATTCACTAATTGTAGTGTTTGATAAATGCTTTACTCTGATATTATGCTGGTAAGAAAGAAGTAAAAAACTTGATTGTTTTGTCCATAATTATGCTGTTTGGAATCGATATAGAATCTATTACATACATAAAGATATCTGTAGCTTTTTTTTTATAATTTACAGATAACGGTCAATGGAAGAAATATTGAAGAAGGATTTGGTTTAGCATACCGTGTCATCCAGGTTAGTTCTGTTTTGTAATTTTTTTTATAATATATGAAGAAACTCCTAGAAAGATTTTACTTTCACAGAAAGGCCAAATTACACCAAACACCTTAAGTAAAATTTCTTGTTCTGAATTAAACATGAATTATATGGTTATCATAGTATATTAGCTAATGTAATTTAGATTTGGGTGGTAAAAACAAGCAAGACTTGTACTGTAGCTTCTTCCTTTAGCATTTTCAAAAATATATGTTACAATTGTATTATCTATTTCACTTGATATTACTGCCAACTGTACTATCAGTATTTCACAGAAAGCTATATATGATATTTTATTTCTCTTTTTATTATTATTCATCATAAGTTAGCTTTTTTTAAAGGATCATCATCTTGCTGGAACTCGAGTTTTCAGTTTAGTTGGCCAAATGCTTGTTGGAGCAGGACACTTAGCTGAAATATCAAGGTTGATAGAATGTCTCATAACATGTGGAACACCAGAGAAGTATGACACTGACAAAATAGTTGGAGCTTGTATACAGGAATTGGTAAAGAATTCTAGAGAGGTAATAATTTGTGAAAAACTCTTATGTTTTTATAAATGGTTAAATGCTTTACATGCACACAAGAATAATAGTCTTCACAGTTAAACAATTTAATAATGTGATGATACTAACTTTATATTATGAATAAAGTAAAATTTCATATTTGTAAATATTAAGATATTGGTATTTCACTCACTTGTGATAGTGATACAAATCTTGTGATTACAGATTGATTTTAAAATTTTTACTTTTTCTTTTTACAAACTGACTAGCATGGGTGTACATGGCAGGTGAGTGATTTAATAAATTAATAACATTATTTATTACAACAGGAAAAGTACTTTTTATAAGTGTGATGTAAGATTTCACAGTATTATTTAACAAAATTTACATATTTTTTATGATGCAAAGGTGTTTTGAGAATATCTAGCTTTCTAATTTGGTGTAGTATTTAATGTTCATTTCATTTTCTGATTTTATAAATTATATGTAGCTGCTATTGTGTAACAAATATCTATCTTTGTCATGATTTAGATATCTTCTCTTGTGAGTCTGAATATACTTATGAATGCAATGTTTCATAACCTAGGTGACATTTAACCCTCTCACTATGGACAGGTCAAGGAGTGCATTTCATGATATTTTAGTTATTTTCTAAACTTATTAACAATGTATGGTAATAAAATTGGCAAAAAAACTTAGTATATGATTCAACTTTTAATATTATATATATTTCTTAATTTGAAATAAAAAAAGCTAAATATCATTTTTTGTGTGTTACATAGCACATCCTCTTGTCTTATTGCTTAGTTTGTATTTTATTACACCTACCATACAATGTTTATAGTGGTTACTGAATTACAAACTCAAATTTCAGACACTGATAAACTAGAATATAAAATAAGAACCTTCCACTTTTTTAATTTGCTGAGATATCATTATACTTAGCAAATCTACCAGAGTAGCCCCTCCGACTACTACATTCTTTTAAAACCTACTTTTCTTAAGTACATGTTTATAAGCAATAGAAAGAGTATATTCCAAGCTACATAAATCTTACAGTTGTTTGTAATTGGATTGAAGGGGAAAGCCATAGTTTCACTGGAAATGTTGAAGTTTGACTAAGTTGTTGCTCTAAACACAAATGAGATTTTTTTTAACACACAGACAGCTTAGCTAGAAAGCTAGGTAAATTATAATGATTTCATATGCACCAGTATAGCAATTTCATCATTTTTGGTTTTCTAAAATGCATTTGTGAAATCTGCAAAAATTAATTTGTCTTCTCCTCCACTTGAGAGAATAAATAAGGCTTATGGCAAGGCTTAGTAAGTATGACATGCGAGTACAAATCAATTTTGTAACATTGCAAGTACTAGAAATTATTGTTTTCTATATATTTTTGATTTATTGTTCCATGTTTTAAGAAATGTAATGACAAATTAAGCATTTATGAGTAAATAGTAATATATATATATATATAAGCTCTTACACACTTTGTATGCGTATAACACTAAGTTCTGGCCACCATGGGAGGATAACTAATATCCAGATATCTACCAAGTTTATTGAATTGGCCCGGACTTTGTACAGAGCCATAATATAAACATTTTCTGTCACTTTTATTATTTCAGACAATTTTCATTGCAACCACTGTACTATACACAAGCCAATAAATCCTCTCCCATCATGTTCTTGGAGCCAGAATTGTGATAAACTGTTGTACTGCATGAACTTGTTTGCAATCAACAATATTGTATTATGGTGTCATGTTCAGCAGGTTTCTTCTTCAGCCACTAACAGTAAAACAGACATAAGAAATAGATGTGAAATGGTTAGAAGTAAAGACATTCAGGAGAAGTATTTTGGAACTTCGTGGTCAATAATAAAAAGGATAGAACAGTACTACTATTTTATTTTGCATTTTTCAAACTTTAATATTTTATGGTGGTTATGAGGTCGGGCCAATTGATTGACCCTGTGTGCAGTTAGGGTACAGAAAATAACAGATAAAATATGAAGTTCTTTGAAAAAAAAAAGTTTGATATTTATTTAAGTTTTTAATCTTAACATGAAAATCACTTTGCATTCAGAGTAGTCAACACTTCATATATTCACAGACGAATGTTTAGACACACAAAGTATGTTAAAATTTAGAGTATTAAAATTCTGATGATCACTTTAGAGTCATGAGGTCAGTGTAACCCACGGAGTCTATAGCAAGAGGGTTAATCAAGAGCGGTGGTTCTAAAGAAAGCACAAATTTTCTGTGCAAGTTTAAATACTTGGCTAGTCAGATTATGTTTTGTTCTCTGTTGATGAGCCACTTTTGATGCTAAATAGAAATAATTAATGATAAATTAATACACCAGAAGATTAAACCTATAGTGACTACAGTAATTGATTGGGTGCCCTCACTGTTAATGATGTCTTTTTGGCCTTAATCAGTATAACACATGAAGCAGTCATAATGATGCCATGTTCACAAATCTCTAGCTACACAAGATATTTTGAAACAAATTAAAAGGAACATACAGATTTCTTAATCAGTTGTTTCCCATGTGTATGTGACTTCATGTAAGGTTAAGAAACATTATTCTCAGGAATTGCCAGCACTAGAGTTAAATTTGTATATTTTGGGGTTTGAAAAACATTTCCATTTGGACAGTAAAATGTAGTTTCAAATTTGTTGTGAAAAAAGTATTTATGTTTTAGAAATTTTTTCTATGATAATTAAAAAATGTAGTTTTAAAACTTAGGCACTCATGGCTCATTAATGAGAAGATTGTATCTGTTTATCATTTATGTGTACACAATTCTTCACTTATACCTTATAGTAGAACCATAATTTGCTTTAGAACTATAAGAAATGTATTTCATAAATAATATTAAACAAAGTTGTAAGATGAGAAACAAAAGAAGTTACTGCATATGGATGGACCTGACATGGTTATTGAACTTGGTTACTTGAAAAATCAGTAAATTCTTGCAAACAGAATTAGGAATAAGAATGCACGTACTTGAGGATCAACATTTCAGTGTTCCCTACATAATCTTGTAGTGTCTCTACTATTGGAAAACTCAAATTTATGCAACATGATTAAAGAAAACTTTTCATTTTCTTAGGATCTGTGAGTCTTAAGTTGAAGCTATCTGATAAAAGTAATGTAAAATGTTTATGAAATATAATTATCATAATCATTTCACTGTTCCTTATAGTTCAGGATAAAAGTGAAGTAATAGAGTTATTAAAACATTGAAAAAGATATTTTCTATTATAATACCAAGATTAATTAATATAGATAAATTTCTGTTGCATTTTCCCCCACACATTGTCAAACCTTTTCATTTTATCTACAGAATAAGGATTTGGAGAGTCTTATCAAGCTCTTAACAGGTGACATTAATAAGGTAAGTATAAATTAGCAACAACGTTTTTATGTATGTCATAAACGTTACAAGCATCAGATTTTTACTGTGGATTTGTTGCACCATTTAAAGTTATATTTGAATTTATAAACAACATCTAGTGATATTATAGAAAATGTGTAAAAATAAAATTTAACAAAAAAAAGTTTTTAACAAACTTTAAATCAACTTTTAGTGCATTGATTGTTGGGAAAAGCATGTAAGAAATATTAGATAGTCATAAGATTTACAAAATAATTTAAAATACAGAATCTGTATACACCTGAGGGTATTTTTGAATTACCAATGTACTTCATTATTTCTGTTCCATAGATCAATGCTTATATTCTCTGCAATAAGCTGAAATCTGCTTATCTACTAGCTGTTCGTTGTGGGAGAACAGCAGAAGTTAAACAGATAATGATACAGGCAGAAAAAAGTGGCCAAGAGGCTGTGCGAAGCATCTGTGAAAAATGGTTACAAGCCCAAGCAAAGAGTACATAGGGAGAAGAAACTGGATTTGAGAAGTGTTAATTCAGTCTCTTTTAAATGTGATTAGTCATCACACACGTTTTGTATGGTAGTTAATTAACAAGTAATTACTAATATTACTCATGTGAACTTGAATTTAAACGTATCTCCTAAATTCTTATAAAAACTATCACATAACTATAATTTACATCCTAGCTATTGCTTCAATTTGAAATGTACTTATTATGTTCTTCATTAGGAGGCATGAAATTGTATTTTTAATAATCTAATCCAGTAAAAAGTAACAGCACCATGTTTGGAAAGTAAAAAAAAACTTGCTTTTTTAAATATTTAAGTACAATTTTTAGGACTCATTTACAGGTACACCTGTTATTCCTTCTCTGGAAACAGATACTCAAATATAGATGGATCTGGAGCCATGTCGTGTGGTTATACTGCTATAGTTATTTCACATAGTTTCTGAAAAGGAGGTGACATAATGAAAACTACAAGCAGTATTTTTCACCACAAAGTATTATCATTTTATTCTTAAATTTAAAATGGTTAGCAGTTATTGAGTGTTTGAAAATTTCATCAGGTGTTGAGTATAAAGCTCTTTTAATCTGTAGTAAAATCCATTAAAGATAAAAGTATCTTACCCAATGCTTAATTGTAAACTTTATATTACAGTGTGTGTGCTCTAGGTATTGATTTTTTCAGTTTTTCAAACTGCTTTGAATGGTTTAATTAAAATTATAGTTTTGCTAAAGTATTTGCTAAAACTTAAGAAATAGAAAAACTAGGTTTTATAAACAGTAATTCTTAAACAAGTTCACTGTAAATCAAATTTTAAAAAGAAAAACAGCATCTATCAACATAACTTTTTAATTGATTTTGGCCAAATTTGTTGTACAGTTTTGACTTGTATAATGGTGAATGGAAAAGCTGGAATTTGAAAAGGACATGTAATCCTCCACTGTTCTATATAGTTCAAATGATTAGATACTGTAAGGTCTTGGAATCCTTTTGAAATTCAGTACTAAAGGCAGGGTAGTCTTATCAAACAGATTTAGGCCATATCTTTCTTAGTTCACAAATTTTTTTCTATCCATATTTGGCAGATAGAAAATTAATTTGTAAGACTTTGTCAGCTATAACTTAAGAGGGTTAGAATTTAGTTTGCAACAAATCAAACCAGTAGTGTTGTGTATAACCTAACGTATTTTAAGCTTAGCTCATGAATAAATGAAAAATAACTTATTTTTATACATTTGTTAATAAACATTAGATTTTAAAACTAAGTAGAGAAGATGAATGGTGTATAACCAAACAAGGGGCTTTATTCATTGCTACATGTGAGAAAAACAACTTACGGGTTACAATTATTATTAATGTACACAAAAATTTTATTACTAAGATTATGTTGTTCTATCTGTAGAATATGTATGTTAAAAATCATAGGAGTTTTAGGTAAGTGAATATTTTTTGTTTACCTTCTGAACTGTTTTTTTATTATTATTATTCACTCAAGATTTCAGGAGTTATTCTTTACTGTAAAAGAACATACTGAATTAGTTCATAGCATCTTCTAAACTACATCTCACAAGAAATAACACTGCACAGAGCTTCAACAGAATTCTCATTTAAAAAAATCTCCTGAATCTTTTTTTTTAATTTGTATTATATTTTAGTACATTTTATATTAGCAGCAATTCATGTACAAAGTTTTAAATATCAGTTAGTTTCATCCATCTGTATTGAAACTTTTCTTCTTTTTTTCCAATATGCCTTGATTACATAATTTTGTGCATGGACTTTCAATATTACAACATTAGTTTATTTTCATATAACCCCATCAGCTTTATCTGTAAAATGAAATGTTTCAATCATTTCCTTTAGAAATTATGATGATTTGATTTTTTCAAGGTGTTTTGTAATGAATTAGACTTGTATAGATGAAGAAAATCATAAAACTGGGCTTCTTTAAAGTTATGTATAAATGTATTAAATAAAAAAGTCTAGTTATACTACTTAATTCTTCTTTCCTTCATGAACATATATTACATTACATGATAATATCTAAGGTTAACCTCGTGGTTACACCAGAAAACTCTAATAAAGCTATTTTCTGTGGGATTCCAACAGAGTAAATGACTTAGTTCTGATTCATACCTCATGGTTTGTTTTTTGGCATCTTTTAGAAGGTTTCAATACTGGGTTTACAGATTTCCACACTTTTGTCAAAAAAAAAAACAGAACAAGAGACATTATTTTCTGTTTTTGTGTATCGTAATGCAAAATATGATACTAATATTGTTTTTTTTCATATAAACAGTAATTGATGTACTTTTTTCTAGGCTAATTATACAATTAAAAACAAGAACTGTAGAAACCTTCACATTTCATTATCACTATACAAAGGATAGAGATAAGAAATTAGCAAAAATTCCTAAACTTGAAAATTAAGCTGTTGCTCAAGTGGTAAGTTTAAACTACAATGCACACTAATTACAGTATGTAAATAGTAGGTATTTCATTTAAAAAAATAATCAACAACCCAGTTAAGGAACCAAGATTTTCATTGTTCAGTGGGGGGTTGACTGTTATGGCAAGTCATATATTCATTTTTGATACTTAATAAAATTAAAATATGTACAATTTATATTTTTCTTGGAAAGGTGTAGGTGGGAATACTTTATTTGCACAGAGTACCAAAATATAAAGGTGAGCACTATTAAATTAATTAGAACTTTAATTATTGTTACTTCTTTGGAATGCAACTGCTTATTCCTGTTGGTGTGGATACAAAAATTGGTAGGTGCATTGAAAACTCAATTATACTTCAGAATTTTTAAGCATTCCTTTTTGTATGATATTGATTTTTTTTTCAAACTTATTCCATTTAAAATAAGCTATTTAATAATTCGAACAATAACAACACTAAGAGACAATCTGATATGTAAAGTTAAACTGTCAACATTGTGTTTATTCATTCAAAGATAATGGTGATGAAAAAACAAGCATGTTCAGGATATCATACAAACATTTATTGTCAAAATAGATAATATAAAACAAACTTTTTCATAACCTGTTAAGTTTAGTAACAATAAGAATTCGCAAGGTTTGGTCTAATGAAGTACATGCACATAACCCTTCTTTATCTGGACTCCAGTCGAAACCTGCTATTGGTTGTTCAGAAACTGTGACATTTTGTAGCATTGTTACTGATCCCATAACTCCCTCAGAATGACCATCCTCATCCTTTTCACTTCTTTTCTCTGGATAGTTACTATAAACAGTACTAATATCAGTGTGAAGCACTATGACGTGACTCAGAATTCTTTAATCTAATAACTAGCCGTAGTCTCTCTTTCTTTATAATTTGGCAACTTGTAGGTGAGTTTGAAAACAACAGAATTATAAAACACTTCCTCTGTTTCTTTATGTTTACTTTATTCTATTACTAAATGTTTTACTGTTCAAATAGGATCTCTACTAGCTGAAGGAAAACTATTTGCTGGTAATCGTATAAAATACAAAAAAAAAATCAATCATAGTCAACTTACTATCTCCACAGATTTAACGATCCACTTCCACTAGTTGTCATAAAAACATCTCTATTTTGTGGAAGATGTCGAGCAAGCCAAATAGTTGCTTTTTTATGAGCCTAAAGATAGTTCACAGAAAACAGTTTTATTACAGTTTTAAAACTGTTAATAACCTACTTTAAACACTGTGAAAATCAGAACCTTTTAATATTATGCTTTACGTTACAATTTTTATGATGTTTAACAGACAAAAGAGTTCAGTCAAAACGGGTAACCATAGCTATATATAAACAGTTATGAAGTATTACGGTAGTACAACACATACAAACAGTAATCTTTTGTTTCAACACTAACAAACAGGTTAATTCTAATTACATTTGGTCCCAATTTTTTAAGAATAGCAAATTTAAAATGATAGCATACAATAAACCTATAAAAACAAAGTTTTCCTTCTACAAACTTGCATGCTCTGCATTATCTTGCTGTTAAAACAGACTTTGAAAAAAAAAAGTCTTTTAATTGGTACTTAACCTTCTCAGTTAATAAGGCAAATCCTTTCTTTGGGTGTTGTGTTCTCATATCATACACCTGAAACTTTGACTCAAGTGAAGTTATGACAAGCTTGTTCATAAGGATGTCCTTCCTATCAAATTCTACACTACATACCTAGAAAATGATAAAGTATAATGTCATAAGTTGTTTCTTATTAGAAGAAACTAACATCATTCACAATGATAAAGATTTAGTAGTTCATTTGATGTAAGTTACTTGAAATGATTTAACTTTGTGGACTTAATCTACGATTTCACTACGGTCATTTCTAAACAAAAGTTTGTGTAAAATTAATACATGGATAAATCAACCAGTTGTTGCAATCCAACATTTGGCTGGGCTAACACGGTCGATACTGAACAAGTTATAAAATTTTTATCAACATTTTAAATAATAGATGTAACTTTTACAAAAATGTTTAACTTCTTGAAACTACCTTTATTTCGGGTAATGCAAATAAAATATAAACCAGCTAATTCAAACATATAACCACTAGCTGAGGACTTTCAACTGGTATCAGGTTTTATTAGGAACACAATTAAATGAAGATCTATACATATGTTAGAAGACACAAGTATAAAATAAACCTCTTCTATTTGAAATATTTCTTTGGAACTATTCTAATTTTTAAACTTTACATCAATCACTTATCACTGCTCTTTATGCACATTTTTCTTTAAGATTATCCTATTACCATTATAATGCAATATGGATAATTGCATGTGTTCTCCTTTATACACAAGTAACAGTTAACATGTAAATGATTTTATAACTCACTCCATTTTTTATATTGGTTTCCCATTGTAGTGACATGGTTCTTAGGTCAAATAACTTAACATCACCATTGTCATAACCCGCACATACACACCGTTCTTCAACATTGTAGGCATTCCCTATATGCAAAAATAATAATAATTATGAAAGAACTACAACCTCCATGAAACTTCTGTAGTGACCATTTAAATATGATCTCTAACCAGCAGGTATAGATTAATAACTAAATTTTGCATGCAACTATCAAACAGTTCTTTTTTTGTTGAAATTTCACATATTGTAAGTGTTTTGAATATATCAACCAAGCTGAATCTCAACCTACAGATGGAAGAAATTTGAATTCAAATTCTCCCAAAATGACATCCTCACATACTATGTTTTAGAAGCAGCAGAATTCTCCAAAGGTTGCAGGTACACTGAAAATTACACTCAGTAGAATGCAAACTCAGTATAGAGTTAATGGTGTTAACATGTAAGCAACAGTCTCATGAAGAAGGCCTCAACTATGAATTAAAAATGTCATCCATTACAAACCAAAACAAATTCATGAGAAATTACAAACATCACACATTTCTATTCAAGACTTTTCATACATCAAAATGTAACATATAGTCTTAATCCTTCAAAGCTATATCTAACAATTATCTTGTTTGCAGAAGACACATGTTCTTTTAAAGTGCTATTCAGCTTTACAAGAATAAAAAGTATACTTGTTGAAAATGCCAAATACAAGTACAAATACAAAAATTAAAAACCAAAATTCTTATAAACAAATAAATAATACTATTAACTATATAATATAGTTTAACCTTATTGGGAACAAAAGAAAATTAAACAAAGTGAATTTTACCTATTTGATGATAATTTTTCTATTTTTTGTGTCTGAAATATTATATTATCAATTACATGTATTAAGAATGTGTCATACTAAAGCTGATGTACTATATAGTTAAGCATTATTTTTTAGGGTTCATACACTTGACAAAGAACAAAACTTCAAAATTTTTCAAGGACTGTCCAAGATAGAATTATCTGTCTTCCAGGACCTGAAAACATCAGTTAATTATGAACTCCATTTGATTGCCAGATGTACAAGTATTCACTGAAAGCTACTAAATTTGCTTTATTATTCAATGCAAGTGCTGCCATAAGCAAAAGTTACTTTAATCTACCATTTAAAATATTTATACTAATAAGCACACAAGTCCTTATATGAAAAGCATCTACGAATGAAACCTGTTATTTCAGTGGACTCTAGATGATTGAACTGAAAGTCTGTTAGGTAAAAGTACAACTTAGCAAGATGAAAATCACTTTCACTCAAGCTAAAAACACATAATGGTCAAGTTTCAACAGCTCCATACAATGCTTGTTTGACTAATGTAGATAACGAAATATTTCTTTCACACAGCCAATCATGTAAGTACCAATTAATATATGTATTGCTTGTCTGAAAAATCCAAATTCACACTTAATATACAAGTGTTTTGATTCATGAAATGCATGTTTCACATAATGTTAAGCTATGTCATGGCAAAGTTAATAAGTGAATAGCATACATGCCAATATAGATAATAAAAAAGAACACATATATGTGTGTGTTCCATTGAGATCAATTCAAATGTGATATTACTCATGAGGATGTCCAGTAAAATGTGAACATGTTATAAAAGTTAGATCTGTACTGCAACACATAGTTTATAACTGATTCTTTATGTTTAGATGATTAGATAGTTTGATAATGGATCATGAGGGGCAGGATTTAAAACCATGAGTCCAAACAAAAATGATTTATTTGCTGATATCTTAAATTTCTGGATAAAAATATTTTGAGAAAGATATTTCTTTTGTTTTTTTTCAAATTTTTCCAGAACTCTTGGCAATGTTACCATTTTCCAAGGATTTTTCAGACTTGTAAACTGAATTTACAAGATCCATACGACTCATTTTATAGAAGGTTAAGGTGAAAAATTATTTTGAAATTTGGGATATTACAAGAACAAAACCTTAGCAATCATTTACTCAGATGACTCTAACTATATTTGTTTATTTATTAGTAACTGTAGGTGCTATTTGACACTGAATTTATGTAAGACAACAACATTATCCATTGTACACATGAAATTGCAGCAACCACACTCTCATCATTTAATGGGCTGCCATGTTGTTGTTATTAAGTAAATTTCTCTTGTAAGTTGAACCTGAAGTACATATACGTATGCACGGTTTACCATACTTTTCTGAAAAATACTATAAACATGTTAAATAATGTAAGCAATCTAAAATACTGCATATCAACCAGAAAATATTTTACTTTTAAGATAAACACATATGATGGAAAAATCAATTTTCCAATATATATATATATTCTGACATTAATTTTAATCATATGACTTAAATTTTTTTAAATAAAAATAATGTTTGATTCAACAGCTATGATCATAGAATAAATTAACTTACAAATTCCATTTGTAAAACATTGAATATAACTAATAGAGACCCATTTATGCAGTTGAAATCACACAAATCTTGACTTTTAAAGAGTCCACCATACTAGCTCAGGAAATGTTCTCTTGTGACAAAATTTTATAATTCCTCATTGCAGAGATCCCTACAGTGCATAATAAAACTACATCATAGAGTTTGCATTTTTGATATCTATCCTTTTATTAGGAAGACAGATGTATGCTAAATTTTAAAATTCAACCCCCCTCCAAGTGTTTCTATGAAAATGCATACTCGTGGATACATACCCACTTTTGAGGCATATGGCAAATTGCAAGAGGTTACAGCATTTTACTATTTTGAAACTTTCCTTTTGGTGAACTAAAACTTATTACCCTTAAGGCTAAAACCAGAAGTAAACAGAGTAAATTTTCTGTGTATTTAATGATTTGGTTCACACTAATTTTGTAACTGGTTAATACCTACACCATAACTGTGATCAAGAACCAACAGAATACCAACTGGAAACTACATAATTCTAAATTCATATATGACAAAGCTGCTTTTCATATTTAAACAGATTTACTCCAATTACCATTTTAATTTCACTGATCTGGTGATGGTATAGTATGTATTTAACTTATTACCAGAAAGCATGGGCCTTTAGAAATACATATTACATTTCAATCAACATCAAAAGGCTATTGTAACAAATAAACTACAGGTACTCTAATGTGAGTCATAAATACATAAATGATGAGGACTTCCTATACAGGTCTGCAATTGGTCTTTCACGTTTAACTACCTACCAGAGAATTGAAAATGAAAACATGATCCTCAGGGATTTTAGTTCTTACAATTATAAAATGTACAAATATCCACTTACCAAAGGCAACTGACCAACAGTCTCTTTTTTGACCTCCTTCTTCTGGTTCCATTGTAGCAACTGGAACATCTTTCTGTCTTGGATCCCACACTCTTACCAAACCTTGGATAAAGTATGTCAATATCACTATAGAAAACTATACATTTACTAATAAGATTTGTAAAAAACAAATCTAAATATATATAAAAAAACTCACCTCCTTAAGGCAGAATACATGAACGTACATAAATAATCAAAGAGCAAATTGTAATTAATGGCATTATATTTCCCTATTTAATAATCACATACCTAAAGATACAGGGCTCAAAATCAGCAGGGACTGGGGAGCCAATGGGTTCCCAAAATGCCAGCAGGCCTGTAAAAAAATGTTCTAGGTAGTCCATATGGCCCCCTTAACATAAAAAAAGCCATTAAAAGTTGGACTCCACACAAATTGATTTAAGTATTTCTTAACAGAACAGAACTTGTGACAAATGTTTGTGTATTGTACATGACTGACGAATGTTCGGACCTTCCCAAATTTATGAACACTCATGTACAGTCCACAAATGTCTTCATTATGAATGCCCTTGTATTCAAAGTAAATGCACTTTTATTAATACAAATGCTATCACTTTGTCCAATATTCAAACTTTTTGTATCAATGTAATGAAATTGGTCTATAAAATTTCAAATAGTGGTTATTTGAACTTTTATAAAGATGATTACTGTTTTCAATCAGAATGCTACTTTTTTAACTTTTTATATATGACACCAAGCCTGCATCAAGGTTCACACACACATTTGAAAAATGTACATACAAGTTCTTTTTTAACACTTTCCAAAAACAGGCAAGCAAAAACTGCAAACTTGTAAGTTGTTTAATGAATCTATCTTACTGTACGTACATTGTTTGTAAATGTTAGGGCAAACACTTTTGAATCCAACTTTGCATACTGCACTAGCCAAAAATAAAAAAATAACATAATATTACTGTTTTACCAATCATTTCACAATTGGAAATCACCTATTCCAAATGTGTACAGTAAAGTTGATGATGTCATTGTGTAGTATTGTTGACAGTTTAACCTTAAAAATTAAATTGTAACGACTACAGTGAATGTACTTTAAAGCTTCATTAAATTTGAAATGGTTGAAATTATCAATACATGTGCCATGCAAAAAAAAACTCTTTTCTGTTTTTTATTTGAACGAGTGAAAAATAAAAATGGGGACTGACCCTGTAGTTAATAGATGATCGACGTTATGTGACCGTTGTAAGAGACAAATAAATTGTTGAGGTTCATTACCTAAATCTATCATACACTTTAGCCATAAGTTCAAAGACTTTTGTTATCACTCTACACATTTTGAACTAAGCCACTTTCTAAACCAAATGAAGTATTCTAACAACCAAAGATGAAATAAAGTAACAGCGTTTAAAAGTTTTCCTTCGTAAACAGAGGAATCTTCAATTCGGTTGCTGATAGCCTTTTTTAAAATTGGCCTTATTAAAATATGCTCCTAATTGTATTTTTATTGCATACATAATGATCAACTTTCTAACCTTAAAAAAACAAATGACAACTTTAATTGCATTATGATAAAGAAGACCCACATCGTGCTGGTTGAATTATTTAAAATTTATCACCTCCCGGCTTGACATACATGCTTTCATCAAGTGTTTTAAATCTCAGCACATACACTGTGTCACTTTTGACATTTGTCTAAAATCAGGAAATATTTTCTTTTACTGTCAATAAAGATGGATATATTCCCCTGTTAGTTACTGGTGCAACAGACAGTTGCCCACCTTAGATTCTTGTTTTTCAACCATTTGCTTCCTACTCGAAAAACCCAAAGTATCTAGTTTTTCTCATTCAGAAGCAATCTAACTAATCAGCAATCATGTTTGACAAGCCACAACTAACTTTAAGGTAACTTCTTGGAACTATGTATATTTATAAATAACTGGACTGTCAAATGTTGAAATGGAATGTTCCATAGCTGTTCAATAGGTTAGTTATTTTGTAAATATTTGTATATGATTGTTTACCACTTTCAACTTATAGTGACATCTCTGAAAGTGACATGCACAATTCAAACAATTGAAAAAACCCCACTATTGGAAAGTAATGGGACATTCCAAATTTCCAATCGGTCTGTTGTCATGCACTCTTCGGCAATCTCCCAAAACAGTACTAATAGGAAGCCACATGGCATATCATCTAGAAAATTTCACAGGATAAGGACAAGTAGATCTCCAGCAAGCACACAGTGTGTATTGGCTCTGTGCATAGGGTGCTGTTATCAACAATTTGCTAATTTTCAGTCCATAAAGAAATGGGTGTGCTTCGCAATGTTTGGAACATTGTTTTTTAACCTTTCCTTTGTTCAGTATATCAACTTATGTAACTAAATGAGAAATAGATTGTTTTAACTGATGATATTTTATTCTACGGTGAATAATTTTTTGTGTCAAAAGTACAGAGTCGTGATTGTAAGCATACTTACAAATCAGATGATTGTTGTAGTGAATAAAGTGGTCTGAGTGGTGTTATTTTTAATTTCTTGGCAATCAGTTTCCATGATTGGGAAGTCCGCCCGATTCCAACAGCCAAACCAATTAGCAGTAAAACACTGCATAATATAAAATAATAACTTTAAATGAACACAAAATAATGATTTAAAAATGGGAATACTAACAGTTCTCATGATGGTCTCTCTGATACATTTTCCACTTCTATTTCATTACTTAATTTCACTAGAATAACAAGAAAGGCTAGCCATGGGCTGCTATCATCTCTGGGGTTAAGGAGAAGCTACGTAATGTCTGTGGCCTCTTTGACCTATTGTTGTCTGTACCAGCCAGCTCTGCTGAGGCAGAAAGAGGATTCATCAAGATGAAGATGAACAAGACCAATTTGAGATCTTGTCTTGGAGATGACAGGATCACTGATCAACTTCTGGTCATGCTCATATGCCTTAAATAAGTGACTTTGATTCCATAACAGCTATCCATCTTTAGAACTCAGGATCACTTCACACAAGGAGACCAAATACTGGCAGGGTCCAGAGAATAGGACATCATCGGACACTGACACATACTACATTTCCTTTCATTATTTATTTTGATTAGGAAAGGACACTAATTTAAGTTTAACTCATCACCACCTAAGCAATTTCAGAGCTATTTGCATGTTTTCAATATGTTGCTAATTTGAGGATTTAGCTTATTACAAACTCAAATTCATGAACAACTAATTAACAGCTGTTTCAGGATATGAAAGAACTGATTGCTATAAAGTTAGTGATAATGTAAATTGTACAATTTTTCCTATCTCTACATCAAAAGTGTTTGACATTTTATTGACAAACATGTGTCAGCTAAATGGTAATGGGTTATATGGGAACAAGAACAGATTACACTGACAGTGATGCAAAGATTTTCTTTCATTATTTATTTTTATCAAGAAAGGACACTACTTTATAGGGGAACAAAAGAACAGATTATACTGGCAGTGACACATAGATTTTCTTTCATTATTTATTTTGATTATTAAAGGAAATACTCTAAAGGAAATCATTTTCTTTCTTTGAGGTTAAGCACAAAGCTACACAATGGGCTATCTGTGCTCTGCCCACCACGGGTATCGAAACCTGGTTCTAGAAGTGTGATCAAGAAAATTTACTTAAACATGTCAACTTGTAAAGGGTTTCAATAACTGTATTTAAAAATGTAATTCATAAAAGATATTGGGTCTAATCTATATTCTAATGTAATGCATTAGGTACAAGAAAAACTGAAGGGTTATATTTCATATTTAGATATAACAGAATGGCTGGAAATAGGGAATAATTGCATGTCTAGACCTAAAATTTTAAAAATATAAAATAATTTAGTATAATACCATTCAGGACATAATACATCCTAGAAAGGTTACATCCATTCATAACTTAAATTAAATTTCACAAAGAAAAACACAAGTATCCAATTTTAAAGGACATAAGTCTGACACAGTACTTGTTTAGATCCTATGGTTTGAAAAGGGTAATGACCCTTAGCTTGTGCTTTATGCATTCTTGTAACAGGAAGCATGGAGGTAAACTGTAGGGATAAGATGAGAATGATTCCCTAAGTTAGTGCTTTGTGCAACTTTGTAAAAGGAATAAGGTATGTAAAGTTAACATTTTCCTAATCTGAAAATGTATTTCTAAAGCTATTCACCTCTTCACATAGAAATGCTATTTCATTCATGCACCTGCTTGTGAAACTTGCATGCCACTAGCCTTGAGCTAACTCCCACCTAAATTCACATTTAAAATGAACATGTGCATGATGATGCAATCATGCAACAATAGCTTTCCACCAATAGGAGGGTAACACAACTTCCAAGCACAGTAACTCCCCCTATGCACTTGTACTTGTGATAACTTCATTCTTTGATAAGGCAAGAAAAAAATGGTGCACCGGAAGTGGGAATGTGTGCAGATAATATCTAGATTAAGAAAATGTTAACTTCCAAGACAGTAACTCACCTCCCACACAGAAATGCTAGAACCTCACAATGAATTAGTGGAAAGAGCTGGTGCAGAAATTAAATCTAGGTGAGCTCCCTTCAGAAAGCATCTGAAGGGAAAGCCTATGAAGTGTGACACCCAATGGAAGGGACTTCATAGATAGCATCTCTTTTCAACCAAGGTATATTCTTCACCCTAGATGAAAGGTAGGGAAAGGCAAAAGAGCCTAAAGTATCACAGGGATGGTGGAATGTGCTCATGGCCAACCAAGCACTTGGATACAAGTGGTCGGCAAGCCAATATGTGTCATATGGTTAGGGCACAATCAGACAATATAGTTTGTACTCACCTTGACTCTACTAGAAAGACTCTAGCTGCAGGAAGAGAGCACATTAGCTGTGTGAGGGGTGAGCAGTACTACAGTGACAATATCACCACTGCCCTACTTCTCACCATATTATGCTAAGCCTAGCCTGTGAGAATTCTCCATGGTACACCACACCAGTGGTTAAGAACTGGTGAGTGGCAAGGGTTTTCCATGCTCCATTTGAAGAAGGGGGATTTGCATTGAAGAGACCTAGAGAAATGCCCAGTTCCTTATCAGATTACCAGCCAGAAAGGTATTTTACTGGAGTAAGTGTAATAAGTGACCGAGAAACCCTATTTTTAAAAGTGGGACGTTATTTCCCTGTTGCTGGCTTTTTGCATGACAGCCCATGGAATTGGTACAGTGTGGATTGAAAAATTGAGTAAATTTGAAAACAAAAAGATACCTCAAGTGATCGTGCAGAACACCCTATCTTGAAGTGGGCACTGGTAGAAGAACCAGGGAGGATGGCCTGAATGCTTGTTCTATCTTGTTTGGTATTGACCATGAAGTTCCAAAATACTTCTGAGATTTTCTACCTTTCTATTTCCTATCTTTATTTTACTGTTAGCAGCTCAAACAGAAACCTGCCGAACACAAAACAATGAATCACTGCTCCTGCCATTGAACTATTTACACGACACCTTAATACAAAACTGTCGACAGCAAATAAGCATGTGTAGTGCAATAAGTGGGGATTCCCACAGAGTTTATCATAATCCTGGATCTGAAAACACAGTAGGAGAGGATTTATTGGCTTGTTTAGAGTATAATGGTTAAAAGGAGAATTGTCTAAGGTAATAAAAGTGTGAGAAAATGTTTATGATATAGCTCTGTAAAGTCCGGGCTGATCCAATGAACTTGGTGGGTATTTGGATGCTAGTTATGCTCCCATGGTGGTCAAATCTAACAGTATAGGTGTACAAATTGTTTAAGTGCTTATGAACTCATAAATGCTTAATTTGTAGTTACTTTTCTTAAAACATAGAACAAAAAATACAAAATATAAAGAAAAACTATGATTGCTAGTACATGCAATCTGACAAATCTGACTTGTACTCGTGCATTGTACTTGTTAAGCCTCACTGTAAGCCTAGTTTATTCTCTCAAGTGGATGGGAAAGACATTAATTTTTGTGGGTTTCAAAGATGCCTTTTAGAAAACCAAAAACATTATCAAATTACTATACCGGTAAATATATATATTCACTGTAATATATATGGCTTTCCAAGTAAGTTAGAAATCTCATTTCTGTTCAGAGTAACAAATTAGTCAACATACTTCAATATTTCCAGTAAAGTTTTAGCTTTCCCCTTCAGGCCAATTACAAAATCCTGTCAGATTTACATAGTTTGGAATTTGCTCTTTCTATTGTTTATAAACGTGTACTCAAAAGATATAGGCATGAGTAGTAGTAGTAATAGTGGGAAGGGTTACTCTGGTAGGTTTGCTAAATATATTTAGATCTTAACAAATCAAAAAGGTGAGAGGTTCTTATGTTATATTCTAGGTTGTCAGTGCCTGAAATTTGAGTTTCTAATTCATTAACCATTATAGATGTTGTATTTTAGGTGTAATACAATTATAAATTGATCAATAAGAAGAGAGGACATGCAATGTGACACACAAAAAATATTTTCTTTCAAATTAAGAAATTAGAACATATCAAATATTTAAATGTCAATTACAAACTATGATTTGAAGCCAATTTTATTTACATATATTGATGATAAAGTTGTTTAATTAAATTTTCAAAATAACTGAAATGTTGTGACATGCCCTTTGGCCTGTCGATAGCGAGAGGGTTAATGAGGTATACCAAGAAAGATCTAGACAATGTAACAGTTATAATTGAAAAATATGACAAAACCAGTTCAACACTAACAAAAAAAAGGTAAAATACTGGCAACAGTGAATGTAATTATTATGTTATTTTCAGGTAAACACACTTCTACAGATCAAAAAGTAATCTCCTGCTATGTCCAAAGGGTCGTAGGCTGAAAGACTAACCAATAAATACAACTAATACTAGAAATATTCATATTATCTGGTTGTATCTATAAAGTTTATACCCATTAAACAATCATTAGGTTCATAAAAGGCTGCTTACTTCCTTAACGTCTCAAATCTTGCAAAATGTATTTTTATTCTTTCCCATCTTGCTTCAACCCAGTTCATTACAGCATAACATAATCCTTGGTAGAATCTAAAACTTAGTTATTCCACTGATATAGCAGTACTATAAGTGACAGCCAAACTCAATGAGCATTTGACTTGGTTAGGAATAAGTTTAATTTTTTTTTTTCAAAATATACAAAACTTCATTATGAATATTTTCAAAATAAATTTAACACCCGTCACACAAGCCAGCCTGGCATCTTGATGTGGATCAAAACAAAAGTCATTCTAGAAAGGTTTGGGTTGTTTTGATTAGACAAAATGAAAATGTTTGGCACTATTTTCAAGGTCTAGCTTGCTGGACCAGAGACTATGAGAGCCAACATGGAGAAGTTAACTTGTAAATATAAAGTAATAATGTAATGATGTGGTAATGAAACATGCTTGAAATGTTTCCGATTTGGTTGTAAATGTGATGGTTTAAATGTAGCGATTAAACTAAACCATGGGTCCAGATCAGATGAGGGAAGAACATATTCAAAGATATGAATTGGAGATTCATCAATTAATTGCTGCATTGACAGTGAAGCATAAAAAAACTGGCAAAATAGTATCATTAACTTAAAAAAGAGAGATTGGAATAATATATAAGAAATCATTAGTATCAATATTTTGTGAAACTAACAGCACAGTAAAAACCCAAAGATGCAGTGTTGAAGTTGAAGCAGTTGCATGATGCATCACAAGATTACCCTAGCAATTCTCAAATTAAAAATACCATTTCTGCAATAAAGAGTAAATATAAGAATGATGGTATAATGCCTAGTTTGGTACCACCATAGTATAATCCACACACATTTCATCATGTCATATTTTCATTAATATTTTGTTTTTTCTTTGTTTTAGAAGTTGTTCCCAACTTTATTCATCAAGATCGATCAAAATAACCCGAAATCACCAGTTTCTAGAATGACCCTACCTACTGATCATCCTAGACTCAGTACTAAATGATGCTGTGCTAGTTCGTGCGGCAAGTGTTAATATATTTTAAATCAAAAAGGAAAACTGCTCTTATAAATCGTAAATGTTGTGGTTCGTGAAATTTAAAGAATATCCTTCACTGATAACCAAATATTCACAAGTTATTACAATATGAATATATATTTTGATATACAAAAGTACACAGTTTAAAATTTCAAATATAAAAGATCTTACACTAAGTAATTCTTACCATCACGGCTACCAGTAACAATTTCTGGAGCACCCACCCCTATTCCCAATCCACCTACACCATCAATAGCATTGATGATCTGTTCGTGTGCTTGTACTGAATATATTGGAACTTTTAAGTCCTCTGGATCCCTGCAAAAGATAATGATTACTTTACTTCAGAAGTATAGAATAAAAATTCTCTACCTAAAGATTCATGCATAAAATTAAAGAAAGTAGATGAAGCATAAAGTTAACATGTGGCAGCAAAATGGTTCTTTACTATTTTCAATGTATGAAGATATATTTGTGGAAATATTTTGTTAAATAAGGAGTATATTTCATAGAATCTCATTATAAAGTTTCTTTATTTATGATATGACTAGTTTAATTACAGATAATAGTTTTTATCCATATAGCTGTAAAATTCTTACTGCTCAATATCAGAGTTGTGCATATTAAAACTCATTTTAATTGCTATTCTCTAGCTTGTCAATGAGTTACAATTACTATATTTCTTAACAAACTTCAGTAACAGGACTCGAAGATAAGGTTCAGCAATCTGAAATCATAAGTAGCACGGATATTCCTACAGTACTTGTAATATCTTTGAAGCTATTATCGTGGAACTATTATGTGAATTATCACATAAGTTAAACAGTCTGCTATGAAATGTTTTATGTAGCTATTATGATACTCTTTCATTAATAATCTTTGTAGATAATATTAAAAGAAATCTAACAAGTTGTTAATATGTGGAAATGAGCCATATTACTCCACAAAATTAGTCTTTATTTATTTCTGAAGTTAAAAGTGGCCTCAGAAACCAGATTAAAATAACAGTCTTCTGACACTGTTACTGGTCTGTTTGAGACAAAAGTGCCAGAATGGCAGCTATTGTCAAACCCTATTCAGTAATAATCAATGCAATTTAAAGTTCTTGGAAACATAACTTATCTATATATGTTAAAGTAACTTGAGAAAAAAATATTTCTACAATTTATATGATTTCAATCTTTTGGAAACTAGAAAATAAAGTTAAAATTACCATATTTGTAGTTTCCCTTTGAAATCTCCTGTTGCTAAGTGACGTTGATGAATGCTTGATGCTCCAAAAGTACCACATCTCAAAGCTTTAGGTTTCTCTGACTACATGTCAAAAAAACAAGTTATTACAGGAAAATGATTTACATTCATAGAATAAATTCTACTACTATCATTTAACAAAATTTTTACAATGTCATATGCATTTCAGGTGAAAAACTTAATACAAAGAAAGTTATGAAATAAAATTTCATCTTAACATATTTAGTCTTAAACATGTATAAACTAATCCCTATTTCTGATCACTTTGGTTGTAACTGGTCAACAATAACTGAAATATTTTTTAGTTTTTAAAAATATAGGCTTTTTATATTCATAAAAGTCTATAATAAAACCAAAATAAATAGTGTAAAAAACAGACTGATGAGCTGTGTGTGTGAGAATAACCATATTCAGTGGCTTAGTGTCTATAGTGCCAGGTTGCTAAGTGTACTATTAATGTTAAAAACACTTTGTGCCATGCTCTAACACTAATTTTGTGTTTGTTGCTAAAACTACCATTTTTTGAATGCTGCATAAGCATATTTTCACCTCCACCCCACAGTCAACCCATTGCACTTATGAAAGTTATTTTTGTTATTATTAGTCACGTGTATTAGCTCATAAAGTTAAAGTTTGTAATTTTATTAAATAACAATTCTACTAGCCTCTATTAAGAGAAACACCAAAAAGTTTCAAATTTGCCATAAAACTATTTTACTAGCTATACACAACATAAGGCCTATGGTATACAAATGATATTAAGCTAGCAAAAACCTCTATTCTAGTTCAAGTAATTGGTACAATGGTAGAACCTCCAAATCTAGAGCAAACATTTAAACTGTAAAGTCTTGTATTATTTGTATTTGTACTCATATGTCACAAGCACTTTCTCAAGGTAAAGACAGCTGTATAGTAGAGGTGGACAATAAAATGTCTTTGTACAAACTGCAGAGCAGTTGACACTGAGAGGGTATAACCTCTCTCTGTTACTTTATATTGGATGACCATTGGCCAAGGATGACACAAATGCTCCAGGAGTGATGACAATATTCTGTTTATAGAAAAATTGGTAACTTTATCTTAGCAGATTTTATGGGCACTCTAGTATTTATATTATAACTATACAGTATCCTTTCTTTAAAGTTACTTTCATTAACAATTATAATTATCATAACTAATTTTATTATTTTATATTATAAATACTATTTCACATTGTTAATTTATTTTGTGGATTTAGGACTATATTTACCAACCTTGCTGACCCAATTATCACTTTTACCATAATATGGTGGTTCTTACTTGGCTACCACACACATTGTTATTTGAATTCAATATACCTGCTTTTACTTATTAATTATTATTATTTCTAATTTTAATCTTCGATCATTATTAATCTGCACTGTTACCTTAATATAAGGATTTGATTTCTGCCCAGTGCTCTGAATGTCAAAGTGAAAAAAATTAAACCAAGCTTGGGTAAATGGCTGGAGTAACTATGACTCTCTTAATGATGACTCAAATGCCTCGTCATCTAATTAGTGACACACATAAATGGATTAACGAGATTCCCACTGTCCCTATCTACTATTTAGTGAAACCACAACCAAATGAACAAGCTTGGAAAAATCAGTGGGGAATAAGTCTTCTGGGTTGGCCAAACTCACAACATATTATTTGGTTTACACATGTAAATATCATTAACAGAGAGAGAGGACCCAATTGATAAAAAAATACATTCTAATCATTATTCATAAGATAGTTTTAATGGTATAATTAATTTGTTATGATCATTATTCAGCATATTTCTAAATCTGATCTATGTAGGTATGTTGCTTTGATCAGAAACTAAAATTAATGTGGCCAAAACACTAGGGAACTTTAGAAGTTGCAATCTACATGTTTAAGTATATATAGTGGCTAAATATCTGGCAACCAAGAACAATCTTTCAAAAACTAAATACCTAGGTGTCCAAAAATTAGAATATTGATGAGCTACAATCACCTCTCACTTGACTTAGATAATAAGTAACAGCAAATTACGAAACTGACTAGTCTTTCAACTCAATGTAATGATCTGAATAAAACTTTTGCACTGGAAAAATAAATATTGATAGTCATTCTTGTTTAGTGTTGATCGGCATGTGTGTTTGTTACAACCTGTTAGGAACGATCCTCAAAATACTAGATACCCAGTAGTACACAATCTCACAATCATGAATATTGATAAGCTTCTAATATGATAATTTATATTATTTATATAATTTGTGATAACATAATTGTTTCCAAATTTTCATTATTATCATCATCTTCCTCAATAGGGTTATTGTTGTGGTTCATCAATATTCAAGTTTTTGGACTGCCGGGCATTTAGTACTTGAATTTTGAAATATCGTTCCCAGCTACTGGGTATCTAGCCACTGCATTAACTTGATTATGATAAGTTCATTAAATATAAAGTATAATCAGAGGTTTATTTAAACTTACAACTAAATACTAGTAATAGTAGAAATAATTTATCATGGTAACACAGTACAAAGAATTAATATTATTAATCATTCGGTAGTTTTTTATGAACTGAAACTGAAAGCAATTACAAACCTCAGTTATCAACTTGACGTCTCCCTGGCAAAGCTCGTAGATTTGCAAAGAACCTGTCCCACGTGGATAGCTACCTAAAATCACGACCTTCGCACTTCGAGGAAGCCATTTAGTATCAAAGACGCTGTAATTCAGACTTTTTTGTGTATGCACAATTATCTGAGGCTTATCCATTCCGTTTCTTGTACCTAATTATGTAACTGTTACAGTAACAATATTATACAAACCATTCAATGAATAGAAACCATTAAGTGATTAGGCATAACACCTCGATGTAGATAAATAAGTCTCCCGAGACGTATATTATAGCCAATAATGCATTATACTTTTCCTTTTTTCATTTCAATTTACTTCTGAGGCTAAACAGTTTGCGACTACCCTTAATTTATTCAAACCTTTGGTCTTAATTGGAGACGAAAAAAGTATATTAATAGTGATAGGACTTATAACTATTAGTATTATTACTCAATATTAGTTTAGTATTACGTTGTCCCATGAGTATAACTTATTCAGTTAATAATAATCAAGTTAAGTTATGCTACTCGTATTACTAATAATAGCGTACAGTTTTATAAATGCATTCTTAGTAATACTAGTACAAAACACTGCCCATAAATACTTAGTTTAAATTATCGTTAAATCAATACGGATGTTTATGGTTGGAGATCTCACAGCCTTCTGGTGGGATTTCCAAAAATAAGATTTAATACAACTACAACACCGTCCAAAGACTTAAAAGTAAAACTGTGAGGAATCGAGGATAAAGTTGTTATCTCTTATGCAGTTGCTGTTTGAGAAGCGCGGTTGGCAAAAGGGCATAATCTGGAAGATTTTTACTATGAGAAATATTGCCTTCAATATCACGTTATAATGACTATTCAGTTTTCCGTTATCTCTTGTTCCGAAACGTAATATTCTAAATAATATTCTAAAACAAGACGTCCGATAAATAAAACTTTCTATCTTATTCCTTTTTTCTTATGTTTCTAGTCAACTTAACTGCATGTGTTAACCGTATGAATAAATAACAATTTATATTTATAAATATCATCCATACATAAAATTTCAGTGTTTTGATAAGCCAATTTTGAGATATGTGAATGCTATATTGAAATATATGTTTTTGTATGTATAGTTAGCGCTGTTTGGAGAAAAATATCCTATATATATATATATATGATGTAAATCTTTTGTATTAGTCTGTTTATTTGTTACAGGCATAAAGCTGCCACTTCAAGTGTCGCACTGTCAAACAAGTTCATGCTCATGACAAGGTCATTACATACCATTCGTTTTGGTCTGTATAGACACCTTGCTTTGATCAGAAGTTAATATTAAGATCTATGGAATTTCAAATATGTTAATATTTTCCTTTTTTTTTGTTGCTCTAACGAGAACAGCAGGTTATAACTTAGATTTTTACTTTTCATTTTTCCAACTTTATTTCTTGCTCGCTCTTGCAGTTGTTACGTCAGCGGAAGTCACGTGACTCTGGTAACACGTCATGAGATTCTCGAAGGATCTTGACTTTCCCTGGCAACTCTAGTCTGTTCTAGACGCCCTCTTTTTTAGTATATAAGCCCGGCAAATAAAGCGGAGATATAATTACAGATAGAGAGAGAGACTGAAGATAGAGATAATCGAGTCAAGCCGTAAGTAAAGTGTGTGAATCACTGTGATTTATAGCGTGTGTTCATAAAAGTAGTTAAGTTTAAAGTCACTGTGGAAATTAAGTGTATTACGAGAAAGAATAAGCTAGTTTAATTAAGAAAGGACTTGCATCGCTGAAGTTTCTCGGAAAGAATTTATACCGGAAATTAACAGTCGACCAGATACGCAACACAGTTTTACGTTTACCGTTCCGATTTGGATCAGTGTAATGTTCAACACTTTTATTTAGGATTTACCAACCAACTTCTTTAGTTTTCTTTTTTTATTATTATTTTCCACTTCTTGTTTAGCTCTTCAGTTAGTATAGAGTATTGTGATATATTCAGGTACAATTTTTCGACAAGGTTTTTGTTATCATCAGGTGACAAAACCTTGTCGAAACATTGCACATTTGCTGTTATGTTAGACTTATATTAAATCTTTACTTCATTACCCATTCAAGCCGTCTCCAAGCATTATTAGTCTCAAAATGGGTTCCTCGTCATCGAAAATGGGATAGGGCCATTGAATGATAGGAGATCCGACAAAATATCTATTACAGTGTAATGCTGAGTTTCCCTAAATATTCGTAAGAATGAAATAAAGAGACTGAAAATTTAAGAAAATACACAATCTTTATTACAAGAGAATAAAGTGTGAATATTTGCTTAAATGAAGTGCACCAAAAACTTCCATCGACTGTTTAAATCCAACATTCCATATAAACACTACCCACCTGGTTGGTCATTCTCATTCAAATATAAGGAAGATATAACCCTGGAATATCACCTGAACTACCATTAAAGGATGCTGCTTTCAAAACTCTTCCATAATGTGCACTATTATAGCTATACCACTAATGGGTAGAACATTTGTTATCTCTAGAGAATGACAAAGGGACAAAGGTAGCTAGAAAGATGTCAACTTCACAAATTACTTGGCCACGTTATATAAAAACTGCAAATGCACAGAGCAACTTGAAAATTTCGAGTAATGCTACATTAAAATGCTACAGTATCTTAGCTAATCATCAGAGCATACTGACCGTTTCTTCACTGGCGCTTCCTCATCTGACTCCCTATGAACAATCATATCAATACCATAAGTGTCTTTCTCCTCATCAGCTGAGATATGTTCCTGGAGTAACCAATTCTGTAAAGACTAGTTAATGATGTAGACTTTATATGTGCACATGCATGACACATCCACAGTAACTCATAATTTACTTCATTGAACTGGTGATAGACAAGATACAGGTTAGTCCAGGCATAACAGGACTGTTTGCATATTGCAGGCACAAACTATAGCCTTACCCACTCACCAGGTTCTAATGTTCATTCTGTTACTCTTTTGTTACAACTGCTTTATGCCTTTGCCATTGTGTTAGTTCACGTACACCTACTACAAAATGCAGCCATTCCACATATTCCTGAGGACACTGTCGTATTTCTGCACTGGGTAAAAGGCCACACACAAGATCCACTGGGAGCTGTACTTCTTGTTCAAAACATCAGGATATTAGACTACATGGTGAAGCAATCAATAATGACCAGCATATATCAGTTACATCAATTTTGGACAGTGTGATTCTCTCAAAGAGAGAGTTCAAAACTTTTTTGAAGCAGAGTTCCATTGTATAGCCAGTTGTCTATTGGCAGCTTGCGTGGTATAATATCTCTGTCAATCAAAATGTCGATTTGACTGCATCCAGAAAAAACATTTTCACACACTCGTAATAGCACTCCCTCATTCTCTCCAGTCCTGGCATTATGCAAAGTCTGAAGTATTCCCTGCCTCGTAGCTTTGGAGAACACCATCTGCATCACAAATTGTCTACCACAACTTGGGAATTCATAATGATGGTAAAACATGTGTCATTACTAAATTTGTCAGTTTGTGATGGATGTGAGTCACCTTGTTGCATGACAAGTAGCATTCAAACTATGTATTGATCTTTCACTTGTCCATCGTAAAGTTCCTGATTTGTTAACGTTGATGTTCATTCCAATACCGAATGCTCATATGGTTAATCATAATTTCTGCTGTAGTGATTTTAATCACTGCAAGGTGCCCCAAGATCTGACATTCAACAAATGGACGTGGTTGGATATATTCTCCATCAATGTTTCCGTGCTGTAGATCAGGCTTTGTTGTACAATGAAGTTGTACTCTTGCAACATTGCTATCCAATACATAATCACATCAGGATTTTTTTATGTCCATATGCCATTTCAATGAAGCTTGGTCCACTCCAATGGGGAAATACCTACCATATAGGTGGTGGAGTTTATGTTTGAAAATTAATACAGCTGCCAGCAGTTCCTTACTGTCGGTTAGTGCTAGAATCCAGTGAACATATGACTTGCATATCTAATTACACGCTTGTGACAAAAACATGCCAGTTTAGTTCTACTTGATTATCACAGTAAGTAGGTCAAAAGCAAGACATCTTCTGGACATCTTAAATAAGTTTACAGATCCTGTAGAAGCCGAATGTCTAGTGTCCATGCAAATACAAACATTTTGTTGCTTTGCTTTGCAGTATAAAAAAGACTGTGTTTAACTTCACATAACTTGTCAACTTTGTTTATTTCTTTAGCTTAAAACTCAGTCATTTATATAAACTCAGATTTACTTTTAACATTTCCTGATTGATCCTTCTGTTATAAAGCAGAACTATATAATACTCGTGAGAAAATCAATTTCAGCTAAAATCGAAAGTAATCATCTCCAATCTCGATTTTGTATTGGAATTCTTGGTATGGAAGGCCTGTGGAGATCATTTGTCAGTTTTCCTGTGCAGTGGGAGAATCACATGAAGTGGGCCAGATCGAGTTTAGGAACATTGAAATGCACACGTTTATGTAGCAGAAGGAATATCAGTACCTCTGTCGTTTCACAGTCTGCTCCAAACAAAATCTAATGCATTGATACCATGTAATGCTCTTATAGAACCAAAATTAAAATAAGCTGTTTCTTTTCCAGAAAGCAGGCAGCATTAGCTGACACAGTTATCCTTCCAGTGAGGAATGAAGTCCATGTTTTGTTTGGTAACTATGGACAATCAGTTATCCAGCTGTATGCTTAAATGCATGTGTGAAGTGAAGTGGAAGTAACCAATGCTATAAGTAAAGTTAGTATTATATCTGGCACACTGTGGTCAAAACGCAGCTACCAACATATCTGATATCATTAGTTGAGGATTGTGCAAGCAACATAGACAATGCATCAAAATCAACTCAGTGACTTGTTGGTTGAATATGCTGATGTATTTGTTGGACTAGATGGCCAGTTGTGTTGAACAATGGTGACTCATTATAATATAGATACATATGACATATGTCTGATAAAACAACCACCCTGCTGGATTCCCTGAAGCACTAGGGATATCACTAGTGTTGAAATACAGAAGATTTTAAAGGATGGAGTAATACAACCTTTGGAGTGGGTTTGTTTTTCTTCAATAGTGATTGTCAGTAAGAAGGAAGGTACATTAAAGCTTTGTGTTGATTTTAGACAGGTGAACGAGGTAACTCATGTTGATATTTTTCCTTTACCGCAAACAGATCAATGTTTGAACATGTTAGATAGTTTACATTGGTTCAACACCTTGCATTTGACATTCAAATATTTACAAGCCGAATTGGACAACAAGAGTGAACCTAAAGCTGTTTTTAGCGTGAGAGATGGCTTGCATGAATTCAGCCCTTGTAATGTGAACCTCATTTTCAAAAGATTAATTGAGCTTACAGTGAAGGGGTTGCAATAGGAAAGATGCATGGTCTACTCTGATAATACTTCTATGTTTTGTCAAATGTTTGACTCTGCAGCTGAGAACCTGAGAAAAGTATTTCATTGGATAATTAAGGTAGGATTTGACCTAAAGCCAGGAAAGTGCTTGCCAATGTACACAGTAGTGTAGTTTCTTGTTCACATTGTAAGGGGAGATATAGTCTTTCTACACCTGGCTAATCTAGCCACAATGAGAGACTTGCCTCAACCTGTGACCATGTG